CGTAGTCCCACGTAGCCTCACGTAGCCCCCACATAGCCCCAAGTAGCCCCACGTAGCCTCAGGTAGCCCCACGTAGCCTCACGTAGCCTCACGTAGCCCCACGTAGCCCCACGTAGCCCCACGTAGCCCCACATAGCCCCACGTAGCCTCACATAGCCCCACGTAGCCTCACGTAGTCCCACGTAGCCTCACGTAGCCCCATGTATTGCCATGTAATCTCATGTAGCCTCACGTGGCCCCACATAGCCTCACGTAGCCCCACGTAGCCCCACGTAGCCCCATGTATTGCCATGTAATCTCATGTAGCCTCACGTGGCCCCACGTAGCCTCACGTAGCCTCACGTAGCCTCACGTACCCTCACGTAGCCCCATGTATTCCTATGTAATCTCATGTAGCCTCACGTGGCCCCACGTAGCCTCACGTAGCCTCACGTAGCCCCACGTAGCCCCATGTATTGCCATGTAATCTCATGTAGCCTCACGTAGCCTCACGTAGCCCCACGTAGCCTCACGTAGCCCCACGTAGCCCCATGTATTGCCATGTAATCTCATGTAGCCTCACGTAGCCTCACGTAGCCCCACGTAGCCCCATGTATTGCTATGTAGCCTCACGTAGCCCCACGTAGCCTCACGTAGCCCCATGTATTGCCATGTAATCTCATGTAGCCTCATGTAGCCTCACATAGCCCCAGGTAGCCTCATGTAGCCCCACGTAGCGTCACGTAGCCCCATGTATTGCCATGTAATCTCATGTAGCCTCATGTAGCCTCACATAGCCCCACGTAGCCTCACGTAGCCCCACGTAGCCCCACGTAGCCCCACGTAGCCCCACGTAGCCTCACGTAGCCTCACGTGGCCCCACGTGGCCTCACGTAGCCTCACGTAGCCCCACGTAGCCCCACGTAGCCCCACGTAGCCCCACGTAGCCTCACGTAGCCTCACGTAGCCCCACGTAGCCCCACGTAGCCCCATGTATTGCTATGTAATCTCATGTAGCCTCATGCTGCTGATTTGCTGCTCTGTGTTGTTCAGTTCATCCACGGTTGGCTCATCCTGTCCTCCCTCATGCTGCTCTTCTGGCTCAGCTTCATGTACCTGAGGTGAGTCCGGCTTTATCCACCGAAGCCCGATGCGTCCTGACCTGCAGCTTAACTTTTCATCCCGGGGTTCTTCCTCCTCTGATCCCCAGCGAGGTGTTCAAGACGTACAACCTGGCCGTGGACTACCCGACAGTTGGAGTGATCATCTGGAACTTCGGCACGGTGGGGATGATCTGCATCCACTGGAAGGGGCCCCTGCAGCTGCAGCAGGCCTACCTGATCCTCATCAGCGCCCTCATGGCCCTCGTCTTCATCAAGTTCCTGCCCGAGTGGTCGGCCTGGCTCATCCTGGGGGCCATCTCCGTCTACGGTGAGGAGTCACAGTGACATCCCTTCCCGCTGACGTTTGGGTTCCCATCATGCATTGTTGTGGTTGCAGACCTGGTGGCCGTGTTGTCCCCCAAAGGTCCTCTGCGCATGCTGGTGGAGACGGCTCAGGAGCGGAACGAGCCCATCTTCCCGGCGCTCATCTACTCCTGTGAGTCACACTGATGTCAAAACAAGACGAGGTTCTGCCCTGCAGAGACGATGAGGTCTCACCTCTTTTCCTCTCCGTTTGTGCTCAGCCGCCATGATGTGGACGGTCGGGATGGCGAGCCCGCCGGAGGCACAGCGCTCGGGACAGGAAACAGGTCGGGCTTCACAAGCACCGGTTTGCTGCAAGGAATCATGGGAAATGAGCTGGTGGACACGCCTGTACACTTTACAGGCGTGTCTTACATAATTCCACCCAATTAACACTTCACGGTCATCTGTAAACTCCCTTCCTGTTGATGACCATTTATTGGCTTAAAAAAAGTTTCATTTGTAAACAAACAAACAAACAAAACTAAAAGAAAATGGATGTGTTAGTTAAACCAATTAAAAAGTAAATGGCAAATACATGATAGAATAACTTGCTAGTGGGTTTACTTACTAATTTAATTAACTTCCATTTTCCATACACATATGAGAGGGAGTGCCGGGACCCCCAGGGTTGTTGGTTCGAACCGTGGCTGTTCCATGCCCCTGAGCAAGACACCTAACCCCTCACTGCTCCCACTGTGTGGGATGAGTTCAATGCAGAGAACAATTTCCTGGATGTAATAATACTCATAAAAATGGTTTCTTCTTCTTCAAACATTTTCACTAATGAACAATTTATCATAAATGGCATATTCATTTGAAATACAACTGTATACTTGATACAAATGACTACTAATAAATTAAAATATCTCAATAAATATGCACTTTTTGTCTTTAAATTGAATCAGCCACTCAAGTGTTTTTAAAAACGTATTAAATGAGTGAATTAATTTGCCATATTGTTTGACAGATGAGGAGGCGGAGCAGAGCAGCAGGAGGGCGGAGCCTGAGAACCGACAGTCCCAATTGTTTCCAGAAGACGACTTGGAGGAGGACCGTGAGTTTAAATCACCTCCCAGAGTCGTTTAATGTTTAATACTAGAGTAGGAAAACACAGCGTTTGTAGGAGACTAATGGTGCGTTCACAGTCTGTAGGAGGATATTGGTGCATTCACTATCTGTAGGTGTCTAAAGGTGCGTTCACTGTCTGTAGGAGGATATTGGTGCATTCACTATCTGTAGGTGTCTAAAGGTGCGTTCACTGTCTGTAGGTGTCTAAAGGTGCGTTCACTGTCTGTAGGTGTCTAAAGGTGCGTTCACTATCTGTAGGTGTCTAAAGGTGCGTTCACTATCTGTAGGTGTCTAAAGGTGCGTTCACTATCTGTAGGTGTCTAAAGGTGCGTTCACTATCTGTAGGTGTCTAAAGGTGCGTTCACTATCTGTAGGTGTCTAAAGGTGCGTTCACTGTCTGTAGGAGGATATTGGTGCATTCACTATCTGTAGGTGTCTAAAGGTGCGTTCACTGTCAGTAGGAGACTAATGGCGCGTTCACTGTCTGTAGGAGGAGTGAAACTCGGCCTCGGGGACTTCATCTTTTACAGCGTTCTGGTTGGTAAAGCTGCAGCGACGGGTGGAGACTGGAACACAACGCTTGCCTGCTTTGTCGCTATTCTTATCGTAAGTTGTAGTTTTATAATAATGCCGAACTTCCTTCATGTTGCCGTGTGACGTAATCTGTGTGTACGTGGGATTGTTCTCTTTCTGTCCTCCACCTGTCCTCCACCTGTCCTCTCAGGGTCTGTGCCTGACTCTGCTGCTGTTGGCCATCTTTAAGAAGGCTCTGCCCGCGCTGCCCATCTCCATCACCTTCGGCCTGGTCTTCTACTTCTCCACTGGCTTCCTGGTTCAGCCCTTCATGGACAACCTGGCCGCTCACCAGTTTTACATCTGAGAGAAAGCCCCGCCCACCTCACCTGCCAACACGCCTCCCGGCCCCTTTCATCAGAGACGACTTCCTGCGTCCGTCTTCTGTTCGGGGAACTGAAGGACAGGAAATGACGTCGTGCTTTATGGCGGCAGCTCACCTGCTCAGGTGTGTTGAGATAGGCCGGCGCTCCTGTCAGTCAACTTACAACCTGTAAAGACCCTCTTTGTCTTGATTGGCTCTCACAGCCCCGTGTATGTCACCTGACACAATGATGTCATTTGTTGGTCTCGGAGACGATTTAATCAATAACCTAATTATTCTTGTACAAATAATCCACCTGATCATTAAGATGAGACTTTTTCATAAATCCAACAGCGAAATGTAATTTCTTGTACTTCAAATTTCTATGGAGCCATTTATTCAAGCTAATGTTGTAATGCTCATTTCTAAGCCCCGCCCCTCACATCCAGATGTTGTCATGCTCTCCTGCTCTTCTGATCCGGATCAGACAATAAATTGATAACTTAAGTGAAAACAAACGCTCCATGTACTTACATGACCTTTGACGGGGATCGAACCCCCGGAAATGAAATATTCACAGAAATCAAGAGAATCAGAACCAGAAAGGGAAGAAGCATGATGAGCGCAGGTTCCTGATGACGTGATCTTATAATATCTTAGAGGAGGAATGTCTTTATCATATTGATGTTTAGTTTGACTCAACAAAGACGGAATAAAGAGCAGCTCGTCTTTCATCAACATGTTTATTGTGGAAAATAAAAAGCAACAGTTTATGAACAAATGTGAGGTTTAGTTCCTCTCCTCAAACTGGGACTTGTTCTTAAGCAGGAAGGCCGCCAGGTACTCGATGGGGTTCGGAGGTCTGAGGACCGAGAGGAAGCACTTTTATTTAAACACAACCACCTCTACTTAATCCAATAAACCACAGCTCTATTTTTAGCCCCCCCCCCGACCCACCTGTCCTTGGCGAGCAGCGATAGACCCTGCAGCAGGATCGGGACCACGGTCTGGTCCAGGTAGGCCCGTGTCGGCAGCGCCTGCAGGTCCACCTTCTGCTTGGACATCTTCTCCGAGCCCGCCTTCTCGTTCTCCACCGTCCTCTGGGGAGCAAAGCATGCTGGGAGTCCGCCTCTCTGAGCTCCACACTACACAGGCTGCGTGTACATTCGGTGTGTGGTTGTTACCTGGAGGCTGTCTGTCACACCGTACTCGCCGTGAGGATTCTCAGAGACCTGCAGCAAGACCCACGTTCTACATCAGAGTACTTTCAGATTATACTTCGGTCAAATACTACATCAACATCAAGTTAATGATAATATTCTACTTTTTCATATGATGGTTACTTTACATATTTGGATTAGAAATGAATGCTAATGTCACATTTTAGATGATATAAAGGGTCCAAAACCTTAGAAGTGAACACAGGTCTACAACGAGAATGCAAATGTATTATAAATAGTGAGTATTGTTCATTTAGTATACTCAATGCTAATACTTGTACTACAGGTAGTACATGCGGTGCTTCCCCCTCTGGTACTCACTGGAGTGTGTCCCTCCATGGACGTGTCCACATCTGTGTGATCTGAAAGGACAAAGAGAAGAAGAGTCGGCTGATTGAAGCAGAGCTTCCTGGTTATTGTGTTGGATAAACATTGTACATCCCTGCAGCAGTGAAGCATGACAGACGTTTGTGTGAATAAACCATGTTTAAAAGGACCAATGATGAACTCCTTCATCCTCACACGAAGCCGCGAGAAACTCCCAAGCGGTCTCCAACAATTCACCAACGGAGGCGGACCTTTAATTTCCTTCTGCAAACACCTAAAACTACGGAATCAATCAGGGCGCATTGAATCTCTCGTTTACGAATAAACGCCGAGGGGGAAACACTGCTGGAGTTACAGTGTTGTTCAAAGAGACAAATACGAATTCAAAGTTTTTTAAACGTCGCATTGTGGCGGTTTGTGTCCCGCCAGCAGAGCAGGTGAGCGTCGCCGGACCTGCGCCGCTTTGCGCTCGATTTGTCAATCACGTCCGTACCGGGTGCACGAGCGCTGCTCGCAGGCGGGGGCTAGTTAGCTTAGCATCACTTTTAGGCTCCGTGTCCGGTGAATAATCCGCGCAAACGAGTAAAAGATACACCTCCGGGTTTCATACAGAGTCGCGAGACTTCGAGATGACCGGAAACGCGCCGCAAAGAAGCAAAACACTATTAAACAAACATTTGAAAAAGGGATGACCGGTCAACAATAAACGTACCGTCCGCCATGTTTGTTGTGGATGGTAACGCTGTGTGACGTAGCACGACGCTTCTTCTTCTACGGGGGTCCTGCTGCTTTCTAGCGTCTGGCGCCACCTGCTGCTGCGGGATGATTATCACACATCATAGTGTCACAATGTGTGATTATTATAGTGTCACAATGTGTGATTATTATAGTGTCACAATGTGTGATTATTATAGTGTCACAATGTGTGATTATTATAGTGTCACAATGTGTGATTAGTGCCCTATAGATCATCATAGTGTCACAATGTGTGATTAGTGCCCTATAGATCATCATAGTGTCACAATGTGTGATCATTATAGTGTCACAATGTGTGATTAGTGCCCTATAGATCATTATAGTGTCACAATGTGTGATTATTATAGTGTCACAATGTGTGATTATTATAGTGTCACAATGTGTGATTAGTGCCCTATAGATCATCATAGTGTCACAATGTGTGATTAGTGCCCTATAGATCATCATAGTGTCACAATGTGTGATTATTATAGTGTCACAATGTGTGATTATTATAGTGTCACAATGTGTGATTATTATAGTGTCACAATGTGTGATTATTATAGTGTCACAATGTGTGATTAGTGCCCTATAGATCATCATAGTGTCACAATGTGTGATTAGTGCCCTATAGATCATCATAGTGTCACAATGTGTGATCATTATAGTGTCACAATGTGTGATTAGTGCCCTATAGATCATCATAGTGTCACAATGTGTGATCATTATAGTGTCACAATGTGTGATTATTATAGTGTCACAATGTGTGATTATTATAGTGTCACAATGTGTGATTAGTGCCCTATAGATCATCATAGTGTCACAATGTGTGATTAGTGCCCTATAGATCATCATAGTGTCACAATGTGTGATTAGTGCCCTATAGATCATCATAGTGATCAGAATAGAGAGGGTCGTTGCTGGTGGGGGGAAGGTGAGACAGAGGCGTGAACCCCTGATGGGCTGGGGGAGGGAGGGGGTGGGGTCTGGGGCAGGTTGGTGGAGCTTTCGGCGATGGAATCAGGACATTGTCTATCATATCTGCAGTAGAACTCGTTCAGCCCGTCTGCCAGGCGGGGGTCATTCATGGGGTTGTTTTTTTGTTTTTGTTTGTAGCTTATAGTTTGTCCCTAAAGCAGCCCCAGTCTGTGGATCTAACTGGTCTCACTGGTTCCACTACGCGGTCCCCAGGGGTGGAGGGTTGGAATGCTGATCCCGACTGCGAGGCCGGCTGTGTGAAGTAGGGTCACCGGGTGAAAGAACCCAGTCTCACAGCAAAATGTGTAATAGCTACGTGGGTCCACAGGGGAAAACGTAGTATTGTCACAATTTGCCGCCCACATTGTGACAATACTACGGTTTATTTGGCCTATTCATTCACATTGGCTTGAAACGAGGTCACGTGACTATCAGGTTTCCCTCAGCTAAAAAAAGACGGTGTATTATCTGTGAAAAACACAATATTTTAAGAAAGCATCAGCATTTGTGTGCATTTCAAAGGCATTTCTAGCGAGAAGTATGCGCTATAGCACTGAACTGAGAGCAGAAGGAATGGCTTCTTTAAATGAGGCGACAGCGGTTAGACAATGGTCCGACAGGAGAGGCTTCTGTGGAAACATTGTTAAATGTTCAATCCCAATCCCGTACACAAGCACCAAGGCGAGAGTGAGGTTAAAACAGTGAGCTGGTTTATTTACACACTGACAGAAAGCAGTGGAATCTAACAATGAAAGCAATGCAGTACTAAGGCTGTCGTTGTCCACATCCACATGAATGTTAAAGTCACCCACAATAATTACCTTGTTTTAAGGACCAAACTCGTTAAGAACTGTGAAAATTCAGAATAAGGACCTGGGGCCCTGTACACTGTTACAAAGAGAAGCGGCTGGATTCTTTTCCCACATTCCACATGAACTTTAGTGACCTGCGAGCATCGTAATCATGATCGTAATCATGTGGTCCAACACTCAAGACGTCGGCTCAGTCGGCTGTCTTACACTCAGTTGCTCATCTACCTGACAGGAGAAAAAACTCCCAGAAAGAGAAGAACGTTGGGAGGAATCCATAAATGACGGCAAAGCATCCGTCCCCAGGTTTTAACGTCACATTGTGACAGAATGTTAATGTGTTGATAGGACTGAATGTAATGACTAATATATCATGACACAAACTACAATTCTAAACTAAACACGACTACACGTACTATCATTTGTATCATTAGACGCCTGCAGGCTTCCGGGCTCAGGAGAACCCTGCACCTCCCTATGATCCCAAACACAAAGGAACATGTCGGCACACGAATGAATCTCTTTTCAGAAATGTCCGACAGGAATGTGGACGTTTGAAAGGCCTCCAGTCGGGGACGACGCCCCAGTTCTCCCCTTGGCGGATTTCTTTGCGTGACCCAGTTTGCTTGTTCTCTCTCTCTCTACAGGATGAAGGGAATCAAGGCCTTCCTGTGGCGAGGGTAGTCTCCAAACCTCTGCTGGTAGTCCCTGCAAGACCAGAAGATATTTCAACATGTGTGAAGAACCTGATAATGAATGTGTTAATAGAAAACCAGTCGTAACGCTAGCGGATGTTCTTAGTAATGTTCTAAATCCGTTACATGTTTCAATGGGGCTGCTGGGAATGCTGCTCATGACATCACAGCAGCGAAGTCAGGCACTCGTCATCTGTGTGGATCAGACGTACCGGTGGTGCTGGTAGGCTCGGGGCCCGATGGAGCAAGCGGTGAAGAAGGCAAAGGCGGTGGCGGGTAAAGACCACGAGGCCAGAGCATAACCCCCCCACTCCAGGATCTCCCCCAAGAAGTTTGCACCCGACACAAACTCAAACATTCCCCCTGAGAGCAAAACATGAAAAGAAGTAGAAATAATTAAGAAAATGAATAGTTCCTACAACACAAAAAAACTAATGGGAACCAGGATCCGATGTGAACCAGGATCCGGTGTGAACCAGGATCTAATGTGAACCAGGATCTAATGGGAACCAGGATCTGGTGTGAACTACGATCTGGTGTGAACCAGGATCTAGTGTGAACCAGGATCTAGTGTGAACCAGGATCTAATGGGAACCAGGATCTGGTGTGAACCAGGATCTAGTGTGAACCAGGATCTAGTGTGAACCAGGATCTAGTGTGAACCAGGATCTAATGGGAACCAGGATCTGGTGTGAACTACGATCTAGTGTGAACCAGGATCAACGGGGGACCAGGATCAGGATGGCCTGTACCGCGGGGGATCCTGTAGACAGTCTCTCCGGGTCGCCTCAGGCCTCGCAGGATGTGATCGCTGTGGAGGTTGATGATCATCCCGACCACGAAGAGAAGAAAACCTTTACAAAGGTCAGATGATTATGAGAATGAAGTAAAGAACACGATTATTATTAAAGCCGTACATTCCTGAGGATTACAGAGTTCTTTCATTTCTTCTACGGCCATCTGGTGCCCACGTGTGAGGGTACCCCAACCCTCTCTGGGACTTATGACCACCCTGACTAATATCCCGAGGGCCTCCAGTGGAGCAGATGCTCACATCTGGAAGATCTAGACGAGTAAAGACAACAAATATCATCTCTAAAGATCTACGAACAGAACTCAACACACTCAAAGGGAAAGAGACGTCGTCCTGTGAAGGTCGAGGTAAATGAGCCCTTTGACCTTCAGGCCTTAGAGTCAATTCAACGAGTATTTAGAGGGTTTTTAAATCCCTACACTGATGTATTGAAATCCATTAGATATAAAAGTGAAATAAATAGTTTGGTACATGACAAAATGCCACAAAATGATCCAAAAACCAGAAGCTGTCCGCTCTGAGACGCTTGGTAAGCCCACCTGCAGCCAGGCGCGCGTCCCTCAGCCAGGTGTGCTGGAAGCGGGCGCAGTGCAGCAGGTGATGACCCTGCAGGAAGCCGTTGAGCGAGCAGAAGGTGGTGGCGGAGAGGACAATGGTCAGCGGGATGGCGCGTCCTCTGGTCAGGAAGGCGTAGATCAAACTCCTGCAGAACGGGTTGCTAACGGGTTACTAACGGGTTGCTAACGGGTTGCTAACGGGTTGCTAACGGGTTGCTAACCCTGACCCATCAGGGAAGGTTACATGGTTGCATTCTATGAGCCAATGGGAGCCGTCTTCAGACATGGCTGTTGCCCCACGTCGTCAGCGTGGTGCGAAGGAGGATACATGGACGGTCTGATACAGAATGATGATCAGATATCACGTCCACAGATGATGAAGTCGCTTCATGCACCTATTTGGTGTGAATGGATCTCATTACTTTCAAACCTCATCATAAACAATATTGTTGGTCAGTATCAATAAAACTACCTGCTGAGGCTCATTTCTCGTTTTGAGACGTTGTATCAACTGATAGTTTGATCATTGTAATGAAATGAATGGACCATCATTTCAACCTAACGTAGGATTTGCATTTTGAAATCGTACTTTGATGTCACATTGGTCACATTGATCAGGTGATTTTACTTCAATGAAGAAATCTTTGGTTTTTGTGTCTTGGATCCAAACAATTGAAAAACAGTGTTAGAGTTTGGAAAAATGGCATCAAGGTTCTGAAATTAGCGCCAATGTGACTAAAAAAACACAACACACGTTACCACACGAACATATTAACACACACACACACACACACACACACACACACACACACGTTAATATGCACGTTCACCCACGACCCACAGGCAGAAAAGTGGCCCCCGGAATCGAACCTGTGGAAGTAGTGCAGCACGAAGGTGCAGAGCAGCAGCGTCCTCCCGGTCCGGTCTCCGCTGCTCCCGGTCCGGTCTCCGCTGCTCCCGGTCCGGTCTCCGGTGAGCAGCAGCAGCAGCGGCACCAGAAGACCCGGGACCTCCTGCAGGAACCAGCCCAGCCGGGCCGGACAGCTGCGAGCCCCCGCCACCACGTAGCGGCCGTACCGCGCAGGGATCCGGGTCTGCCGCAGCAGGTAAGCGGCTCCTCCGAGGAGCAGAGCCCAGCTCAGCGCGCCGACGGCGGCGTGCTGACACTCCATAAGGCCGCTGGGTGGAGGACCGGGGGGACCGGGGGGACCGGGGGACCGGCGGGTTTAGGGCGAATCGATAACAGCTGTGACGTTGAGTCGCATCCGGAGCAGAAAGCCACCGATAAAAAGCAGAAGCAGAAGTTAAACCGCAGCAGCGGTAAAAGCAGAACTCGCTCTGCTCTCTGAGAGCGACGCGTCCGGCGCGGAGGGACGGACACCGGGTCCGGTCCAGTATCTGAACGTTAGCGTTGAGACGGACAAAATGAGGACAGCTGTTAAAGTCTCTTTAACGGTGTTGAGTCCCGCATTCACACGTGCACGAGCGCCAAACCGTCTTATGGCCCCAGAAGGGCGTTTGTGATGTTCAGCAGGTGGAGGGGGGCTCCTTCCGAGGCCCCCATAGAGCACAGGGACGTCCATCTCTCCCGGGCTCACGGATCAACACGCCCTCGTTGTTCAGGAGTTCTTCTCACCAGGATGTTTGCCAGATGTGCGATAGGCCCGTTCTATGCATGGACGTGTTGTTCTTGATTGTTCCTATTGAACTGCCTGACCCAGATGTGCGATAGGCCCGTTCTATGCATGGACGTGTTGTTCTTGGTTGTTCCTATTGAACTGCCTGACCCAGATGTGCGATAGGCCCGTTCTATGCATGGACGTGTTGTTCTTGGTTGTTCCTATTGAACTGCCTGACCCAGATGTGCGATAGGCCCGTTCTATGCATGGACGTGTTGTTCTTGGTTGTTCCTATTAAACTGCCTGACCCAGATGTGCGATAGGCCCGTTCTATGCATGGACGTGTTGTTCTTAGAACAGGTTGTTCTGTTGAACTTCCTTTGACCCAGATGTGCGATAGGCCCGTTCTATGCATGGACGTGTTGTTCTTGGTTGTTCTGTTGAACTTCCTTTGACCCAGATGTGCGATAGGCCCGTTCTATGCATGGACGTGTTGTTCTTGGTTGTTCTGTTGAACTTCCTTTGACCCAGATGTGCGATAGGCCCGTTCTATGCATGGACGTGTTGTTCTTGGTTGTTCCTATTGAACTGCCTGACCCAGATGTGCGATAGGCCCGTTCTATGCATGGACGTGTTGTTCTTGGTTGTTCCTATTGAACTGCCTGACCCAGATGTGCGATAGGCCCGTTCTATGCATGGACGTGTTGTTCTTGGTTGTTCCTATTGAACTGCCTGACCCAGATGTGCGATAGGCCCGTTCTATGCATGGACGTGTTGTTCTTGGTTGTTCCTATTGAACTGCCTGACCCAGATGTGCGATAGGCCCGTTCTATGCATGGACGTGTTGTTCTTGGTTGTTCTGTTGAACTTCCTGACCCAGATGTGCTGCATCTTTTTGCAGCATGTTCGTGTGCTGATGTTGTAACTTTAAAAACATGTTGTTTGTGCAATCCGGCCTTTAAGCGGCTTCACTCATTATTACTGTGCATTTATACTTCAAGTGTAATTTCCTTCCAGCGTGAGCGTGCACGTTTATATGTGAATACATTAGATACTGGCTGTGTGTCAGCAGGCGAACTGACGAAGCTTTTCCTGAGAACAACCTTCACACTTCAGTGCAGATTACATATTTGTTAGAGTTATAGAGTCTTTATTAAACATGTCTGTCCTACAAACAATGGACCCGTGTGTCAGGAACGAGGAATGAGGAACATTTATTGCCAAAGTATGTCAGACACATGCAGAATGTGACATGGCGGTTGGTGCATAACATTGGACAATAAGACAATGAGACAATGGACAACAAGACAAATACCACAGGAGCACGTCCCCATCAGGCGGACGGTCCATAACAGATGGATGTTTGGTCTTCAGATCAGCTCTGTGGACACATGGAGGACAATTCACAGGGATTTGAGAGCGTGAGTGACGATCTACTGGGAGCCTCCCAGTGCTGGAGGTCCCGGTTCTGTTCCCACCTCAGTCCAGCTGGAGTTAGTGATGGGAGCTGGTTCTGAATTGTACAGTCCACAGCAGATACTAGAACATGGTTCCTCAGCTGTATAATGTGGACCCTGTCCTCGTCTCCTCAGCGTGATGTGATCAGACAGGCCTGAATTAAATGTTTACCAGAACCGTTTATATGTTATATCCAATAATATATTAGATAAACACCTACCAGTGTAATGCAGCAGCAACACCACAAACTACAGCTGCTGCCCGTCATCTTCTTTAGAACCATTACAGCCAGCAACGCTGATCCGATCCATCCACATATCTTGGCTTATTTAAAAAAATAATATAGTATATATAAATCATGCGTGACCCGTCCTCTCTCTCCGCTGGCTGCGGTCGGTTATCAAAACCTTATGAACAAATACAGAATCCCTTAGTGTTCATTTCTAAAGCATCGCATTAAGACACACATGACTTTATTTAAGACGCTGCGCTGCTTGCAGGTCGCTGTGTTGCGCCTGATTCTCAATCAAGTTAGAAACAATGATTCACGGCGAACGCGTGAAGATACTCGTTAACATGTCATTTGCATGAGGAGGAGGACGCGGGTCCATGTCTCCACTGAGAAAGGATCCTTCCACCGACCACCGGAAGAACCTGCCACCGACCACCGGAACCTGCCGTTCCCAAAAGGGAACCTGCCACCGACCACCGGAACCTGCCGTTCCCAAAAGGGAACCTGCCACCGACCACCGGAACCTGCCGTTCCCAAAAGGGAACCTGCCACCGACCACCAGAACCTGCCGTTCCCAGAAGGGAACCTGCCACCGACCACCAGAACCTGCCGTTCCCAAAAGGGAACCTGCCACCGACCACCTGTGCCTGACACAGAGTACTGAATGAAGGCACGCTGTGTGATTGGCTGGGCTGCTGTCAGAGAAAGAAACTCTATTGAAGAAAACCTGCTCCCGACCAGGTGATGTTCACAGGCTCAGTTACCATGGTGACTGAGTCTGAGCTTTAGTTAACATGGTGACTGAGTCTGAGCTTTAGTTAACATGGTGACTGAGTCTGAGCTTTAGTTACCATGGTGACTGAGCCTGAGCTTTAGTTACCATGGTGACTGAGCCTGAGCTTTAATTACCATGGAGACTGACCCTGAGCTTTAGTTACCATGGTGACTGAGCCTGAGCTTTAATTACCATGGAGACTGACCCTGAGCTTTAGTTAACATGGTGACTGAGCCTGAGCTTTAGTTAACATGGAGACTGAGCCTGAGCTTTAGTTAACATGGTGACTGATCCTGAGCTTTAGTTACCATGGTGACTGAGCCTGAGCTTTAATTACCATGGTGACTGAGCCTGAGCTTTAGTTACCATGGTGACTGAGCCTGAGCTTTAGTTACCATGGTGACTGAGCCTGAGCTTTAATTACCATGGAGACTGACCCTGAGCTTTAGTTACCATGGTGACTGAGCCTGAGCTTTAGTTAACATGGAGACTGAGCCTGAGCTTTAATTACCATGGAGACTGACCCTGAGCTTTAGTTAACATGGTGACTGATCCTGAGCTTTAGTTACCATGGTGACTGAGCCTGAGCTTTAGTTACCATGGTGACTGAGCCTGAGCTTTAATTACCATGGAGACTGACCCTGAGCTTTAGTTACCATGGTGACTGAGCCTGAGCTTTAATTACCATGGAGACTGACCCTGAGCTTTAGTTACCATGGTGACTGAGCCTGAGCTTTAATTACCATGGAGACTGACCCTGAGCTTTAATTACCATGGAGACTGACCCTGAGCTTTAGTTACCATGGTGACTGAGCCTGAGCTTTAGTTACCATGGAGACTGAGCCTGAGCTTTAGTTAACATGGTGACTGAGCCTGAGCTTAAGTTACCATGGAGACTGAGCCTGAGCTTTAGTTACCTCCCTTTGTGAAACAAGCCAGAGTTTCCATCATCTCAGGGTGAACAAACACTGAGTTTCCACTAAACCTGCTTGTTGAAACGGACCCCTGGGGGGTATTCCAGAAAGGAGGTTCAACAAACTCTGAGTCTATCCCTGAACTCCGAGTTGACTCACTCTGAGACGGGAAACTCTGACTATCCAGTTCCAGAACAGCTGATCTGCGTTAGTTTAATCAACTCGGAGTATGTTCACCTTGAGTTCTGTTCAGACAACAGAAAGAAGGCAGAGGCCCAAAAAACAGGTGGAGGGCCACCTGGGCCACCCGTGTCCTAAGTGACACTGACTCAAAGCCTCCATCTAGAGGAGAACACGCTCGTGTCTCTTTTCTCTGCATCTTGCAGCCTCCTCCTGCGGTTGAGCTGCTCATGGACATCAGGCCTCTTCTCTGACCTCCGTCAGCCACTGATCCACAGCCCTCGTCAGGGGCCACTGCTCCCAAACAACAGTACAAGTACATGTCATTTAAATAATAATAATAACTTCAGCTCAATTTTCAACCGATTCTTAAACGGTTTGGTTTGTTATGGACAAGATGTAGTTATGACACTGCATACTTATAATAATGAATAACAAATAATGTTCTGTTTAATTTAATTTAAAATATGAAAACCCATGGTTATAATTATAATTATTCATAAGTATGCAGTGTCATAAATACATCTCTGTACAGGTTGGGGATTTAAACATGCAGCATTTCTTGATATTTGTAAAGGGAAATCTTGTATCTATTTTAGAATATTATTCTATTTTTTAGAACATAACATCAATATTGATGTATGCAGTGTCATAACTACTATCTCTGACATTTATAACAAACCAAACTGTTTAAAAATCGGTTGAAAATTGAGCAAGTTATGGTTATTTAAAAAGTACATGTATCACTACCAACACAATGTTATGGGTGAGCGAGGTGACCGTACCAAGATGGCCGCCATGTGCGACCGTTCAACTCCGTTGGCCGGCAACGCGGACGAGACATCTAGCCTTTTGTATATGTCTATTTTTTGTACTGTGACCAAGAACTCTTATTGTGAAGGCCCCTGCGGTTCCCGGTGGGCGCCCCCTCTCGGCGGCTTCGCGCATCGCAGCTCCGGCTGACCGTCTTCTTGCCCCCAGCAGCAGCGGCTCCGCTCCGGCTCCTATCCCGGAGACACCGGAGAGAGCGCCTCCATTTTGACACCGACACCCGGCGCGCTCTTAGCGGACTCCGCGGCGGAGGGACACGTTGGCTCAGCCGCAGAGCGCCGGAGGTTCGGCGGCTCTACTTCCCGGGGCCCGATTCCGCCTGTTGTCTCTCGGATGGCGGCGCTGCGGCAGGACGCGGGGGATCTGTGAGGACTTAACGAGTCCGTTTCTCCGTGGTTCAGCGGGGAGGAGGATCGGCTTCTGGGGCTCAGGTACCGGCTTCGGGGACTCAGGTACCGGCTTTGTTGTAATTGGGCTTACCGGTTATCATTAGCCGGCTTTGTTTGATCTGCTCAGCGGGACAGGCCGCTGCTGAAGCCTCACCGGGCGGCCTGTTAGCGGCTCCTGTTTCCACCCCGGACCGCAACCATCCCAGCCACCGGGGGGGGGGGGTTATATAATGTGTGCGCAGAGGACACACCTGTCTGTCTGTCTGTCTGTCTGTCTGTCTGTAACGGGGTTCCACCTCTGGCGGTGCCGGTAACTCAGACACGCGTCACGTCGGTTCTTTACTGTCGGCGCTCATATCATCGTGTATAACACACACACACACACACACACACACACACACAGTATCACACACACAGTATCACACACGCACGCACATACACACACACTGTATCACACATGCACGCACATACAGACACACTGTATCACACATGCACGCACATAACGGGGGGGTAATAACAGAGAGGGGGGGGTAATAACGGGCGTAATAACAGGCCTTATGCTCGGCTAGTTTTTACTATTCTCCTTTTCATCCTTTGTGGCACTTTGAGATCTAATGATGAAGAGTGTTATAAATAAAATACATTATTATTATTATTATTATTGTAAAACACACACACTGTAACACACACTGTAACACACACTGTAACACACACACGCTGTAACACACACACACACACACTGTAACACACGCTGTAACACACGCTGTAACACACGCTGTAACACACACTGTAACACACACACTGTAACACACGCTGTAACACACGCTGTAACACACACTGTAACACACACACACACTGTAACACACACGCACACTGTAACACACACACACACTGTAACACACACGCACACTGTAACACACACTGTAACACACGCTGTAACACACACACGCTGTAACACACACACTGTAACACACGCTGTAACACACACACACACACTGTAACACACACTGTAACACACACACTGTAACACACACTGTAACACACACACACTGTAACACACACACTGTAACACACACTGTAACACACACTGTAACACACGCTGTAACACACACTGTAACACACAACACCCTGTAACACACACACACACTGTAACACACGCTGTAACACACACACACACACTGTAACACACGCTGTAACACACACACACTGTAACACACACACACTGTAACACACGCTGTAACACACACACACTGTAACACACGCTGTAACACACACACGCTGTAACACACACACTGTAACACACACACACACTGTAACACACGCTGTAACACACACACACACACACTGTAACACACACGCACACTGTAACACACGCTGTAACACACGCTGTAACACACACACACTGTAACACACACACACTGTAACACACGCTGTAACACACACACACTGTAACACACGCTGTAACACACACACACTGTAACACACGCTGTAACACACACCACACTGTAACACACGCTGTAACACACACACACTGTAACACACGCTGTAACACACGCTGTAACACACGCTGTAACACACACACACACTGTAACACACACACACTGTAACACACGCTGTAACACACACACACTGTAACACACGCACACTGTAACACACGCTGTAACACACACACACTGTAACACACGCACACTGTAACACACGCACACTGTAACACACACACGCTGTAACACACACACACTGTAACACTTATCTCTTATCTTATCTCTGGGCTGCAGACGTGGTTCTTCTTTTAGCTGCGGGACTTGTTGCTGTTCGCTCGTTGTTTACGTGCTAACTAGGCTAAACGCTAGCAGAGTCACTGGAAGGCAGCTGAGGGACAGAAGTGTTTCTCTACGAGCAGAGCGTGAACCAGCCAGCAGGTCGGTCACAGAGAGGATCTGAGTCTGGGTGGAATGGTGAGGTTCTCTGATCCCAGCTAATAAATGTGTTGTGCTAAGCTAACAGAGGACCTCTGGTGCTACACCATGACAACAGGGGGGTGTCCGACCAGCACAGAACCAAGTGGAACCAGCTAGTTTTAACAAGATGAAGTTACTTCAAGACACCTTGAGACGTCTTTCTCTGTTAAGAACCCTGATGTTTTTATTCTGAGCATAGAACCCTCAAAATAAGTTTCTGCGACGTGATGTAACGATGACATCATCATCATCCAGAGTGTCCGTCACTGAGGTGTGAGATCACGGGGGGGGGAGAGGGGGGTTATCACAGTGGAGGAAGCCGTCCGTGAAGCATCAACACCACTGAACGTGTGGTGAACGTGTTTAGTTCTGCAGGTGTTCGTCACTTCGTATGGTTCATCCTCCTCCAACGTGTCCTCCCGCCCCACAGGGTCTCTACGAGGATGTGGCAGTGAGCATGCTCGCCGTGCTGATCGTAACCATGGCGGTATTGGGCGGCGGCGGCGGCCAGGCGTGCAGCGGCCAGGATAATTGCTCCACCCAGAGCGAATCCAAGGACTACTGCTACTCCGCCCGCATCCGCAGCACCGTGCTGCAGGGGCTGCCCTTTGGGGGGGTGCCCACCGTGCTCGCCCTCGACTTCATGTGCTTCCTGGTGAGTCGCCGAGGTCACCGCACGCGCTCAGAGCGGCGCGCGGGTCCGAGGGGGGGCGGGGGGAAGTAGTAGATTAGAAGCAGAGTTGATGCTGAGTCTCTGCAGCCAATCAGAGAGGAGATCCTCGTCAGGACGTCACAGCGTCCAGACTCCATTCAGACAACGAGTCATTAAAAGGTTCTTTACACGTCGTCTTGAGGAGAGAAATAACTAAACATGAAATTAGATTGTTTACTAACCGTCGTCATTATCTCGTTATTTCTGCTTCATATTTATCATAATGTTTAACTTTTATTTTGGGCTCAACAGCTGTAATAAACGAGCCTGCGTATGTCTTGATGGATTCAGTGACGCGTCTCATGATGACCTCACGATGACCTCACGATGATGTCATGATGAGGTCACGAGCTCAGACAATGTGAGACTACTGAGCAGAAATAGAGGTTATTTCTTTCGTGGGTTACGAAGGAATTGAGTTAATAATGGTTTCCATGGAGATAAACTCCTCCCACTCCCGTTAGTTTGTGTGAACGCAGCTTTACAGACTGGAATAAATCCAACGGTGTTGCTCTGTGGAAGACCGATGTGATGCTCAGTGAGCGACCGAGGAGAGAGAGAGAGAGACTCCGTGATGATGTGTCTGTGACCGCTGACCTCGGTCCTCTTCTGCTGCAGGTACTGCTCTTCGTCTTTTCCATTCTGCGGAAGGTTGCGTGGGACTATGGCCGCCTGGCGCTGGTCACCGACGCCGACAGGTAACCTCATCTGAGACTCTGAGAGTTCTGACGTTCTAACACTGACTTTGTGGACTTCACAAGGTGCTGAGACATCAGGACCTCATGAATCATAAGAATAACATCTACATTTATTGAGCCGAGGTCGATGCCATGTTTTTGTTGTCCGTCGTCACGACGACGCTCTCGTGGCAGCTTGTGATTCTCTCTCTGTTTCCATCCTGAAGACTGAAGAAGCATCTCAGCGGCCTGGAGGAGCGGGAATAGTATGTGTGGTTTATCCGCTCGCCACCTGCTCTCCTTCTATGGGGTCACTAACGGGATGCTGCTCTCTGATTGGTGCTCTAACACTTCTCCTCCTCCTTTATTTCACCGTGTGTTGGTTGTTACGGTTCAGAGGGACAGAATGCAGGAATGCTCTGGTGCTACAACCCCCCCACAAACCACCAGAGCCCCCCAGACGCATATGAAAAACCCTGCTAATGTGATTCTAATGAATGTGATGCTAACACGTGTGATTTTAACAGATGTGATGCTAACGTATGCTAACAGATGCTAACATACTGGGATGCTAAAACTGCTCCGAACTTCTCATTTTGTAACGTTCACCCAGCTGGAGGCGAGACAGAGATAACTATGAACCGGTCGACAGGTAACAGGCTGTGTGTCTCTAGCTCGGTGTGTCCACCACCCTGTACCGTGCTAGCTAGCTAGCTAGCTGGTTAGCTTATCCACCCACAACACGCGGTGGACGTCGAATGTCCGTATACGTAAAGCCTGGAAAGACCTCTGCAGAAGCAGGTTGATGTTTGTGTTTCCACTTCCTGTTAGCTCCCACAACTCCGCTCAGACAGAGGTCAAAGGTCAGAGCGGCTACATGCTAACAGCTTCCTGTGTTTGCCCACAGCGTTGTCTCTGCGATGCACTCCGAGACGCCCGACCGCTATGAGCGTCTCACCTCCGTGTCCTCCTCCGTCGACTTCGACCAGAGAGACAATGTGAGGACTCTTTTCTGCTCTTCCTCACTGTGTCCTTCTGCTCCTCCTCTTCCTCACTGTCTCCTTCTCCTCCTCACTGTCTCCTTCTTCTCCTCCTCACTGTCTCCTTCTCCTCTTCCTCACTGTGTCCTTCTGCTCCTCCTCTTCCTCACTGTGTCCTCCTCTTCCTCACTGTGTCCTTCTCTTCCTCACTGTCTCCTTCTCCTCCTCACTGTCTCCTTCTTCTCTTCCTCACTGTGTCCTTCTGCTCCTCACTGTCTCCTTCTTCTCTTCCTCACTGTGTCCTCCTCTGGCGACTGTGACCAGAGAGACAATAGCCGTTTCTCAATATGCGTTCTTGTGTGGACTTTTGTTCTCGTGGACTCGTGAAACGTCATCAGTCACAGCCCGAGTACTGTTCCAATTCTCAAGTCCGCATCTGGCCGAGAACGGTCATAATACCCGGATGTGACTCGCCCCGCCCATTTTACCGGGCATGCATCGAAGCAGGCTCGTCTGTTCTTGTGAGAGACATATATCCCAGAATGCATTTCACCTCAGCAAGCTGCGATGGCAGATGAGATACTTGCGTGCGTAAACAAAGACCGCCTACTGTGGTGACGTCATCAAGTCAGCTGCTGTTCCAATGGCGGAAATGTCCGTTCTCCGTTCTCCCGTACCCGTGAGTCAGGACTCCCGAGTCTATTCTCGCGGGAACGCGAGTCCGTTCTCGCCGTCTTAGGTATTGAGAAACGGCCAATGTGAGGACTCGTGTTTCGTGTGTCTCCTCCTCCTGATATTCCCTTTTTTACCTGCAGGGTTTCTGCTCGTGGTTGACGGCCATCTTCAGAATAAAGTGAGTATCGTTTTATGTAGAAAACATAACGTTTTAATCTGAGATTATTGTGAACGAGATTAGTGCGATCAAATATTTTGCGGCAGCTTTGTTCCCTCGCGGTGTGCGTTGACCCCTGACCCCTGAAGCCCCGCCTGCTGCAGTCAGTCAGACGCAGAGAGCGAGACAGTAGCTGAAGATGGAGAAGCTTTTTGCATTGGAAGTAAAACAGGAATTCCTCAATATGTCAAACAGAAGGGACGAGTGCAAATGGACCGCTTTAGGACTGCTAGGCTAAGCTAGCTGCTAGGCTAAGCTAGCTGCTAGGCTAAGCTAGCTGCTAGGCTACTTCCATCTCAACATCTAGACGTTCTAGAGGTTTACACTGTCCCTAAAAGACGGTGTAACCGTCCTGCTAAATGTGGGGAGATTGTTGGCACTTCACATGCGTTCGATTCTGGATAGTTGAGGACAACAGGAAGAGTCTCTCGTTCAACATGTTCCACCTCCAACACGATCGTGTGTGTGTAGTTTAAAATACAATTCAATTACAATTGTTAAAATACACCGTTTCTAAAGTGGTTACTCGTTAATTTATCAAACTGACAATTGGAAGTCATTTCCAAACGTGAGATTGATTAGTTTATTTTTTGATGTTAATAATAATCTCCTGCATGCGGCTGATGGAGTGCTGTGTTGACCCCCCAGGGACGAGGAGATCCGTGAGAAGTGTGGGGAGGACGCGGTGCACTACCTGTCCTTCCAGCGGCACATCATCGGGCTGCTGGTGGTGGTCGGCGTTCTCTCCGTCGGCATCGTGCTGCCCGTTAACTTTTCCGGAGACCTTCTAGGTGAGAACCAGGATCACAGCTGGCCAATCAGGAGAGAGGAGGACAACGAGGAGGACGGCTCTCAGAAACGAGTCATAGTGCTTCATTAATCCCACTAATGTGGAGACAGAAAGGGTCATAAATAGTTTAGGAGAACGTGTAAGCTAGCGCTAGCCTGTAGCTAGGTGCTTCAGGTGGTACATGAAGGGTTTCCACCCGTCCCTGCAAATAGGGAATCGTCCCGTATGAAACCGATCAAACTGATCATTTGTGGGATTTTCGTTTTTCTTAACCTCTAACCTTTGAGTGCGCAGTGACACGGACTGTGAATTATCGCACAATAGTGACTCACTCTGGACCAATCAGAACGCTGGGTGGCGTCTGGGTGGCGGCCCTACATGCTGACTTGACATGTTGACACACTGGCTATGGGGAGATTTAAATGACTGAGCTTCCAGAAGAATGGAGGAACATCTCCTTCTGTAGATGGTGGAGACATTCCCCAAAAGACCTGCAGCTTGAAGCGCAAACAAAGGGGTTCTATCAAGTTCTCATCAGTTCTCATTAGTGTTTGAAAGGTATTTTGCACCTTCCGTACTGTGCATGTTGTGATGATCAAATGGGTCAAAAGTCTCTTTTGAACTCCAGTTTGTAACTGAAGGGGGTGAATTCTTTCACTATGCACGTTTTACCTTTAACCAGATAAAAATACATCTGTAACTCAACCAACTTCTCACGTACTCACTTCTGCAAAACCTCCTTTTGACTAATTCAGCTATAAAATATTAAAGGCATGTTAGAGGCTGTTAGCGATGTGGTTTCTTACTGAAGCTTTCAGTCGTCACAGATGTGATCAGAAAATGTTTTTACTGTCTGAATTGTAGATATAAACTGCAGTTGTTAGTTTAAGGCGGTTCCACACGGATTAAAACATAGCTATGAATATTTGTTTGTACCCTTCACTCAGTGTTTTCTCATGTCTGATTTCAGTCAGAATTATCAGTAAAGATACTTTCCTAAGACAAGGAGTCCCTGCGCCTCCTTCTAGAGAAGGTAACGGCAGTCGGATCAGAGCTGTCTGTGCCTCTGTGGGTATGTGGTTCCATAGATGTGTGCTTCTATATGGTCTGGTTCTATAGATGTGTGGTTCCATAGATGTTTGGTTCTATAGGTTTGTGGTTCTATATGTTATGGTTCCAATAGATATGTGGTCCTATATTGCCTGGTTCTATTGCTGTGTGATCCCATAGATGTCAGCACAGGCACCAGCCAATCAGATCCATTCATGCTCACGTCTAAAGAACGCTCAAAAACAAAAGGTGGCGGACCAAACTCCGTCTCGCCATCACTTTGGGCGTCCTTGGCTTGAAAAACGTTGAAGACCCCTGTTCTATATGGTGTGGTTCTATATGGTCTAGTTCCATAGCTGTGTGATTCCATAGATGTGTAGTTCTATAGATGGCGGTCGCCGTGACGCAGGGGGTAGAGCGGGTGTGCTGGGAACCGCAAGGTTGGTGGTTTGAGTCCCGACTGCCCCATGTCTCAAGTCGAAGTGTCCCTGAGCAAGACGCCTAACCCCAAATTGCTCCCTGAGCAAAATGTAAAAGCCATGAGTTTAAAGCGTAATGTGAGCGCTTTGGATAAAAGCTATAGGTTGAGGTTCTATTGGTCTGAGGTTATATAGGTGTGTGGTTCTAGATGTCCTTGGATCTATATGTTCTGGTTATATTGGTGATATTGTGTGGTTCAAAATATTCTATAGGTTGTGGTTTTATTGGTCTGTAGCTCAAATGTGGTTCTATATGTTCTGGTTGTATATGTGGTTCTATTGGTCTGAGGTTCTATAGGTGGGTGGTTCTATACGTGCGTGGATCTATAAGTTCTGGTTCTATAGGTATTTGGCTCTATAGGTGTGTGGTTTTATTGGTCTGAGCTTCTTTAGGTGGGTGGTTCTATAGTTGCGTGGATCTATATGTTCTGGTTCTATCTGTCTGTGGTTCTATAGGTGTGGGGATCTATATGTTCTGGTTCTATAGATGTGTGGCTCTATAGGTTGTGGTTCTATTGGTCTAAGGTTCTATAAGTGTGTGGTTCTGTAGGTGCGTGGATCTATAGGTTGTGGTTCTATAGGTGCGTGGATCTACAGGGTGTGGTTCTATTGGTCTGAGGTTCTATAGGTGTGTGGTTCTATAGATGCGTGGATCTATAGGTTGTGGTTCTATTGGTCTGAGGTTCTATAGGTGTGTGGATCTATAGGTACGTGGTTCTATGGGTCTGAGGTTCTATAGGTGCCTGGATCTATAGGTGTGTGGTTCTATTGGTCTGTGGTTCTGTAGGTGAGTGGTTCTCTAGGTTGTGGTTCTATTGGTCTGTGGTTCTATAGGTTGTGGTTCTATTGGTCTGAGGTTCTATAGGTTGTGGTTCTATATGTTCTAGTTCTATAGGTTGTGGTTTTATTGGTCTGAGGTTCTATAGGTGTGTGGTTCTATTGGACTAGGATTCTGTAGGTGGGTGGTTCTATATGTTCTGGTTCTATAGGTCTGTGGTTCTGTAGGTGAGTGGTTCTATACCACACACTTATAGAACCACAGACCAATAGAACCACACTATTGGTATGTGGTTCTATTGGTCTGAGCTTCTATAGGTTGTGGTTCTATATGTTCTGGTTCTATTGCTCTGAGGTTCTGTAGGTTGTGGTTATGTAGGTGGGTGGTTCTATAGGTTGTGGTTCTATAGGTTGTGGTTCTATTGCTCTGAGGTTCTATAGGTGGGTGGTTCTGTAGGTGGGTGGTTCTATAGGTTGTGGTTCTATAGGTTGTGGTTCTATTGCTCTGAGGTTCTATAGGTTGTGGTTCTGTAGGTTGTGGTTCTATTGCTCTGAGGTTCTATAGGTGGGTGGGTCTATATGTTCTGGTTCTATAGGTTGTGGTTCTATTGCTCTGAGGTTCTATAGGTTGTGGTTCTATTACTCTGGTTCTGTAGCTTTAAAATACAGCAGTAAATGTACATCGGGTATTAATTGCTCCTGATGACTTTCGATTGATTTTGTTCCAGAAAACAATGCTTACAGTTTTGGACGCACGACGATCGCCAACCTGAAGTCTGGGTGAGTCCACGATGAGCCAACAGAACATCTATTGATTGTGATGTGAACATGTTCTTCAAGCTGGATTCAAATGGTCCAACGATCAAACGTCTGTTCCTACATGGAATCAATCCACACAATCAGACTCAAATAAAATGTGATTTTACCAAATGGTGGAAGATCTACATAGACTGGACTTAGTGTGTGAGGAGATGCAAGCGGACCTGTGGGGGCAGAAGGCTGGAACATTTCTTTATAACCAAATGCAAGACCCCTAAAATCTGAAAGGTTGACCCAGTTCTGCTTGTCCTGAGTCCTGTGGGGGTCTCTGATACAGGCCTGAGGAATGTGGTTGGAGTGGATGAAGATGAAGCGGGTAGTGGAGGCTGCGTTGTTGCAGTATTACAGTATCATGATCACGCCTCACGTTTACTACTTTAAATGTGTGTTCAAACACCTCGTTAAATAAATGAGTAGCATTTATTAACTAGTATGCACAGACCGTTGGATCAATACTCCTATTGATTGTGATGTTTCTGTGCTCAGGACCAACCTGTTGTGGCTGCACACGTCGTTTGCCTTCATGTATCTGCTGCTGACGGTCTACAGTATGAGGAGACACACCTCCAAGATGCACTACAAGGAGGACGACCTGGTAAGATCTCACAATCAAATGTGCTGGTTCACAGCAACGTGCTGCGAGCGGCGTTTAATCCGCGTGTCATGACCTGCAGGTGAAGCGCACTTTATTCATCAACGGCATCTCCAAGTACGCGGAGGAGAGTCAGATCAAACAGCACTTTGAGTGAGTTATCGGCTCTTCTTCTGCTTCTCCATCTAGTGTTTGTTCTACCTGTTCGTGCTCTTATTCCGGAGCTGAAGGAGATAGTGATGTCTTCTTGATGTGATCCGTCTGACCCGTCACCTTGTTTCATCTTCTGCAGACAGGCCTATGAGAACTGCACGGTGCTGGAGGCTCGGATCTGCTACAACGTGGCCAGACTGATGTCTCTGAACGCCGAGAGGTGAGACAGCGCCGTGCATGCTGGGATACGTTCCCCATCACGTGGCGGTCACGCGTCAACCCCTCGTTGCTCCGTGTGTCGGTACTCGTCAGGAAGAAGACGGAGCGCAGTAAGAAGTTCTTCACCGACCTGATGGCCAAGGAACACGTTCCCACCATGATCAACCCCAAGCCCTGTGGACACCTCTGCTGCTGCGCCATCGCCGGCTGCGAGGAGGTGACGCCGGCGCCGCCGCTCACATCGTAGCTCCGCACAGTTTGCTCCTCCCTGGTTTGAGGTTTTGTTAGCCTGTTAGCATGTTAGCATTTTCGTGCAGGAGGAGGCGGTCAGCTACTACACCAAGACGGAGGCCAAGCTGAAGGAGGAGTACAGGAAGGAGAAGGAGAAGGTCCACACCAAACCGCTGGGCATGGCGTTCGTCACCTTCCAGAACGAGTCCATGACCGCCGTGTGAGCCACCATGATCACAATCATTCCCTCCCACACCTCGCGCTTGGAGAATCTGGGGTCATAGTTTCAGGCCCAATGATTCCTACCAGCACAACCCCGTCTGACTCCGCCTCTTCCCCTGTGACTCCGCCTCCACAGCATTCTGAAGGACTTTAACGCCTGCCAGGTCCAGGGTTGCCGCTGTCACCAGGAGCCTCGGTCCTCTCAGTTCAGCGACGCGCTCCACGTTTACAACTGGAGCGTTTCGTACGCGCCCGACCCGCAGAACGTCCGCTGGTAAGTCCAGGCGCCGGCCCCGCCCACCGGCACCGACGCCCCCCCCCCCGGCTGACCCGTCCCGCTGTCCTCACACAGGGAGCACCTGTCGCTGGGGGGGATCTCCTGGTGGATCCGCTGCTTCATCATCAACGTCATCCTCTTCCTCCTGCTCTTCTTCCTCACCACGCCCGCCATCATCATCTCCACCATGGACAAGTTCAACGTCACCAAGCCGGTGGAGTACCTCAACGTAAGTCTCTCAATTTGCATCGGCCGGTTCGTCGTGTGCTGGTTCTTCTTCTCTGACTGTGAGACGTGTTGTTTGGGCAGAACCCCATCGTCACTCAATCTTCCCCACCCTGCTGCTGTGGGTGTTCTCCGCCCTGCTGCCCACCATCGTCTACTACTCGGCCTTCTTCGAGGCTCACTGGACCCGGTAACGCCGCTCTGCGCCAACTGCTTCTTGATTTGACCCTGATTTGACCCTGATTTGACCCTGACTTGACCCTGACTTGACCTCTGCGTGTCTTCAGCTCTGGAGAAAACAGGACGACGATGCACAAGTGTTACACGTTCCTGATCTTCATGGTTCTGCTGCTGCCGTCTCTCGGCCTCAGCAGGTAACTACAAACCGTTGGCAGCAGACGTCCGTCCCTGTGTGACCTTTGACCTCCTGCATCCTCACTGAACCGTCTGTTTTTACAGCTTGGACGTTTTCTTCCGATGGCTGTTTGACAGGAAGTTCCTCGCTGATGCTAAAGTCAGATTTGAGTGAGTTTTTATTCCACTTCATTCTTCTTTAAATAACTTTTCAAACTTTTTCACGTTTCAAAATGTTTAACAGGATTTAAATTCAGTATTAAAATCATATTTTCAATCAAACTGGAAACAAAACGACACACTTGTATCACATTAAACACATAGTAGGTCATTTGTTGTCGTAGGTCAAATGTACCAACTGACCGTATCAATAAAGTCTGAACGTGAACCTTCAGGTGCGTCTTCCTGCCGGACAACGGGGCGTTCTTCGTCAACTACGTCATCGCCTCCGCCTTCATCGGTAACGCCATGGACCTGCTGAGGATCCCCGGGCTGCTCATGTACATGATACGGCTGTGCCTGGCGCGCTCCGCCGCCGACCGCCGCAACGTCAAGAGGGTAAGGACGGGGGGGACAGACGCGGACCTCGTTTCCCCAAGGTTTGCAGGTTAGGGGGGTGGAGGTACACCGGAAGGAGAAGACCGTTGTGAGTCCATTAACGTCTCCACCTGGGTCTGTGTGATGTGGTCCGTCCTGTTTGACATGCTGTCTTTCGTCCCGCAGCACCAGGCTTACGAGTTTCAGTTCGGAGCGGCGTACGCCTGGATGATGAACGTCTTCACGGTGGTGATGGCCTACAGCATCACCTGTCCCATCATCGTCCCCTTCGGTCAGTGCGCTCGCACTACATACCTGTGCAGGTTCCTGTATTTATATGTGACGCGGTGTCCCTCACCTGTCCCGCTGCAGGTCTGATGTACATGCTGCTGAAGCACCTGGTGGACAGGTACAACATGTACTACGCCTACCTGCCCTCCAAACTGGACAAGAAGATCCACTCGGGAGCCGTCACCCAGGTGGTGGCGGCTCCCATCCTCTGCCTCTTCTGGCTACTGTTCTTCTCCACCGTCCGCACAGGTAAGCCCCCCACCCCCGCCCCCCTTGCAGGACAAATCGTTAGCTGGATGCTCATTAATGCTAACAACGCCGCCAGGTTTCGAGACGCCGACCTCCATGTTCACGCTGGTGGTGCTGATCGTCACCATCGTGGTCTGCCTGTCTCACGTCTGCTTCGGACACTTCAAGTACCTCAGTGCTCACAACTACAAGGTACTGGAGCCCGGTTTACTCGCGAGGCTGCTCGTTAGCGTTAGCTCGGGCTCACCCTGTGTCCCCCCCGTCTCAGATCGACACCAAGGAGAACGATGTGGACGTGGTGGAGAACGGACGTCCGGCTCGTCCCTCGTCCTCCCCCATCCCCAAGTCTCAGGTGAGTGGATGAAGAGGCCCCTAAAAGCTTCTTGTGTTAAAGCTGCATTCTCCCTGCTGACCACCAGGGGGCGACTCCTCTGGTTCTATCGCAGTCGATGAGACTTCTGAATTCTTGACTTCGTCGATGACCTTTGACCCCGATGACAGTGAACCCGCTGACATGTTGTGGTGTTCTGTTTTCCAGACGCAGCAGCAGCAGCAGATGTACATTGCCCAGGTGCTCCAGGACCCGAACTCAGACGAGCCGGGTGGTGCTGGTGGTGGTGGCGGCGGCGGCCGCGGTGGCGGTGGCGGCGGCGGTGGTGGCGCTGGCGGCGGCGGCGAGGAGGACCGAGGGTCGTCCCAGGACGAGGAGCTGCTAAACGGAGGCAGCAGCATCAACGAGGCGGATTTTCAGTCGGGGGAGGACAGTCTGATCGCCAACGAGGTCCACCATTAGCATTACCATTAGGGGGTGGAGCTAGAGGGAGGGGCGGAGCTAGTTGAGGGTCCAAAGCTATAGTACAGTTAGAGAGTTACGCTAACTGAATCACTACACACACACACACACACACACACACACACACAGTTAGCTCTTCACCCTCCCCCCTCGAGGACTTCCAACATCCAGTCCAGCACATCTGTGGAAGCCAGATGGACATCGAACTGTCTCCACGTGTCCCGGTACATCACCACAAAGCCAAACCTTTTCGTTTTGTTTCTATGGCGTTTTTCGGGGTTGGGGGAGGGGTTTAGAAATTGGTGCCTCGGCTGGTTTTTTTTTCTGTTTTGTTTTGCACTCGTGCCGGGACTCCACCTGTCGAGGGGTAAAGGCTGATGCTGGAGCCTCCAAACAAACCCTCACCTCCATCACCTCCACCCTCGCCCCCTTTACGTCCACCACTAACCCGTCACCACCGCCACCATCCGAGTGCTCAATAAGTTGCCAACTGCCAGCTCTCGTAGTGCCAGAAGCTTCTCAGATATCTCAGTCCCTTGTCCTGACCTCGTTCAACACCTTCATCATCACATGGGAATTGAGTCTTCTTCCTGCCGAGGTAGACCATTAGGTCCTCTCTGGTCCACAGAGGGACTGTGGAGACATGAGGTCCTCTCTGATCTCAGCAGTAAGTCCTCCTTCCCTTCTGCTCGACCGCCGCTTTCCACTTCATCCAAACACACAACGAAGTAGCGGGAATGTTTGTGTAGGTTTAGTATCCAGACTCTTTTCCTTCCCAAGTAGAACTTGAAGAAGCACCGACAGCAGCAGAAGTCCAGATGCGGTCTGAAGCTGTCGGACCCTCAGAGGGGTGTGTGTGTGTGTGTGTGTGTGTTTCACTAAATGTGTCCTCATGCAATTCAGTCAGATGTATCTTGTACATTATTTATCCTAGCTTAGCACAAACACTGGAAGCAGGTGGGGAATGTAGCCTAGAATCTTCTTCTTATAGCAGGGGTCTCAAACTCGACTTGTCGGGTGTCAGCGCCGTCCCCCCGTCGACCGTAGCGTTCGCCGGTCGGATCGCCGTCCCCCCGTCGACCGTAGCGTTCGCCGGTCGGATCGCCGTCCCCCCGTCGACCGTAGCGTTCGCCGGTCGGATCGCCGCCCCCCGTCGACCGTAACGGTCTGGCACGTGTTCGGTGCCACCAGAGTTTGAGACCCCTGCCTTAAAGACTGAAATGTTAGCTTATAGGCCAAGCTAGCTTTTCGTGTTGGCTAACAAGCTAGTCACCATCGTGTAGTTGGTTTTGTTCTGTAACCATAAGCATATTTTTCATAGCATGTCAGAAACATTCTTTGAATGAAAAGATGTTCAACCTGAGAACAAAATGCTGGATGAATAAACCGTGAAGAGAAGTCAGGATGTTCCCGTCTGGCTAGCATGGTAGCGTTTAGCTCGCCAGCAACAGCAAAACTGCTACTAAAAATCAAATGAAGAAATCGATTTATTCTGCTGTGACTGTTTACAGCTAGGCTAGCTGCACCCCCTGCTTCCTGTCTTAGTGCTAAGCTAGGCTAAATCCGCTCTGACCGTCTCTGCTACACACAAGATTTAGTCCTCAGAATGAGACGAGGCTCCGCCCCCTAGTGGTCAAACATAAGGGAACACGAACAGCAGCCGCGGAGTCAGAGAGCGTCACCGGTTACCATGGCGACCGCAGCGGGAAGCAGAAAGCACCTTAGTCTCAGGTGTTTGTCTTCATGAGCTAATGTTTACGTTGCTTCTGTTCATGTTGCTTCTTCCCGTGTGTGTGTGTTTGTGTGTGTGTGTGTGTGTGTGTGTGTGTGTGTGTGTGTGTGTGTGTGTGTGTGTGTGTGTGTGTGTGTGTTCAGCTGGAATATGAAAGCTGGAGCCATCGGTGCGTCGGTGGCTCCACGCTGGAGAACCTGCAGCGTGTTGTGTCCAGGTCTTTGTTCACCTGCATCGGAGCACCGGCGGGGGGAGGGATAGACATTTGAAAGCTGCTCCTGAGGGCGCACCCGGGCGGGGGGGCTTCCTCCCCGCGCCAAGATCCCACCTCTTGGTAGTTTGCACATGAGACTTAAAGGTGAATCCGACAGGCTCAGCAGCTCTCAGCCGGAAGTGATGCTCCGGCTTTAAATCATAATTTAAAGGAACAATGTCAGTTGAATGTAATATTAAGAACTACCTGCGTCGGAGCCCAGGGAGGACAACGTGGCTCTAGATCTTATCCGTAACATGCAGCTCCTCCGTTAGACGTCACACCAAGAACCATCCGATCTGCTGTGAGTAGAAATGGAAATAAACAATTCCGTGTTTACTTCTGTAATCTGCTTCTAAATCAGTGTTTCAGTCCTGATACAATAACTGATCAATAAATCAAGAACTAAAACAAGTGATCTGTGGAGCCCCCCGACGCCAGTGAGCCTCTCTTGACCCGATGAGCCCTGTGTTTGACCTTTGAACCCTGTAGTGAACTGAAGGCCGGGAGCTGCTGCTGACGCCTCGGTGTCGTGAAACCCATAAAAACAGAAGTTTGTAATATTTTTGTAAGCTGCTGACTGTGTTTGATACTGACGTCAAAGCTGTTGTTACATGTCACTGAAGGTTTTTAATATCAGATGCTTTTCCTTTTTTTTAAAAAAATTGTTACTGAAGTCGTGAAAAGACGAGTGTGAACTGACGACAAACGAGCGGGAAAACCGTGTAAAATAATGTGTGTAAATAGCATCAAACTGCAGCGTCATGCTGGGAGACGAACTACTGGTCCTTTCATGCTTTTTATTTATTGTGACAATATTTATTTCTACTTTGGTTTCAGGTCAAACGCACAGTGAAACCTTTGTCCTATTTATGTTACATGATCAATAAAATTGTCTTTCATCTGCCAAGTTGTTCTGTCTTTGTGGCCGGAGCTCCGTTAGCATGTTAGCATAAAGCGTTTATATATTAAAACATGAAACTTTGTCATCGCTGTTTTAAAATTACACCAAATGTATTTGGATTTTTCCAACGTAACAGATAAATGTACATCTCAATGAATTATAATATCAAAAAGTGAAACTCCAATCACACACTCATTACACACACGTTACATATTTGAGGCGTTTATTTTTAAAAATGTTGATCATTATGGCTTACAGCTAATAAAAAATAAATCAGATTCAACAATTAGAATATTACATAGCACAGTTTAAAAAAGTAAAATAAATGTCCCACTGAAAAGTAGGTATCCATAATGTGTCATAAAAACCTTGTACAACGTGTACTTTTTCATTTACTAAGTACTTTGACATTTAAAGAGTACTCCTACGTTTAGTTGAGATGTCCCTCGTTGGACAGACAAAGTTGTCTCACTGGTCACCGGTTTGTGTGGCTCCTCATTGGTCAGTCAGGTGAGACGTCTTATTAAAAACGGGGAGAACCACGATAGATGTAGTTGGTTTTTTTATGTTAGATATTAAATATAACGGTTCATAATATTAACTATATAATTATATCATATGAATTATAGTAGCAAAATACAAGTTTTAATGAAGATAAGAATGATATTTTAACTTAGATTTCTACTTACTGGGACTTAACTTGTTTAACTGAAAAGAAAGTTTGACTTGTCCAGTTGATCCGCTGTGAACTAGTTTGGGTCCTGGAATGACTACCGGTCTTAAGTAAAGTCCGGACTACACAGATCCAGGATGAGAATCAGCATTCATAAACCCAAAGCTGAGGGGTCAGAGATGAGAATCAGATGTGGAATAGAGGTCCTCCTGTGCCAGTGTAGTATCTCCTAGTGTTCTACTACTGATGCACCAATCTATGTTTTTGTATTTTGTTTTGTTATTTACTTAATTTTATTTATTTTACTTTACTTTCTTTATCTTATTGTTCTTACTTAACTTTCTGTAATGTTTACTGTATTCCATACGCCTTACAGGTTACCTTGTATGGTTAAAATATTTGTAAGAAATGAAAAATCAAATATTTTTAAAAATCCCAAAAATAAAAAAAATAAATGAACCAAAAGAATAAATACAAATGTTCTTTTGTATTGAAAGGCTTTGTGTTGTTTTCATTGTTTTTATAATTATTCTGTTTTTGTTCTGTTTACTTTCAGTTTAAACTGAATTGCATCAAATAATAAAATATCGTGTTATTAAATATAAAGTAATTCAAATTCAGTTCCACCTTTTAAGTGCACATGAATGCATCAATAAATATAATACAATGATATAATACATAATACACTGTGAATTCAGTCGTAATTTCACTTGTTAAGTCACTTTAATGATAGTACTTGGAGTATTTGTGTACACAAAAAGTATAAGGTCGAAGTACTTCCACTCCGCCAGCGGAGGACGAGTTGTTTACCGCGAAGAAGAACCCGCAGTAGAAGAAGAAGAAGAAGAAGCAGAAGACGAAGAACCCGCAGTAGAAGAAGAAGAAGAAGAAACGCGTAGCGTTGCCTCGCGGCCAGTTAGGAGCTGGCTAAGGTGAAGCTAACGCTAACGTGATGACGACCGTCTCTAAAGTGGTTCTGGGAGTTTCTGTGGTTCTGACTCTAAGTACCGTGGCTGCCGTGCATCTCAACCAGTCCTGGGACCGACAGGTGAGCCGGTCCGAACCGAGCTAACGCGGCTAACTGTTAGCTAACTGTTAGCTTAGCTGGGGAGATAAACGGAATTTCACCGGCCTTTGTTGGAATCATTTAATATGAAACGGGGGCGTCTGGCCGAGAGACGGCGTGAGAAAAGAACCTGTGTCTGGTGGTTCTGGTGGTGTTGGGTACAGGACTCTGTAGCGCCCCCAGCGGGGAGGAGTCTGGACAGGTCGTGTCCAGGTGTGAAGGTCTGCAGAGATCTTTGCTGACTGGAGGTCTCTAAAGTGGTTCTGTGAATTTATGTGATTGACTAAAAAACACAAAACAAACTGTAGCACTTAAATTGTACTTATAATGGTTCTTATCTATAGCAAGCTGTACATCTGCTTATTGGATGAAATTGTATTGTTCTTTTAGGTTTGTATCCTTATGGGTGAAATGCACTTATTGGAAGTCAGCTAAATGACATGTAATGAAATGAGGTGTGCAGGTCCAGGATGGAGGGCCGGCTGGCGTTGATGGAACTGATGATCCGTTGTGTAGTGATTTATTCATCTTGACGTGTCTGTCATACTGTCAGTGTGGTATTTATTGTATTTATGTTTGGTCCTCCAGCGTCTCCATCAGGGCGTCGTCAGGGATCTGGAGCGCCTGGAGAGGAAGAAGGAGAACCTACGTCTGCTGGAGGAGCAGAGGATTCTGACCTCACAGCTGGAGGAGGAGAGGCTACGCAGAGAGGCGGAGCGCCGTCCACAGGACCACTGAGACCGGTAACCACATCTGTTGACTGTCCCACCAAGCACCTGAACCGAGGCGGCGCCAAGGTTTTCTTGGTCCCGCCTCCGTTTCATAGATGTCCAATAATTTGGACATCATTTGGAGGAAGCGAACGTGATCAATGAACAACTATTATAAGGTTACACAGACAGTGTAAAGGAGACAGATTTACATTGATTGCACCTTAATCTAGTAAATTAATTTGTTAGTGTTTGTTACTCTCTGTCAAACCAACTGGCTTCACCTCTATCGCCCTCACTTCCCCCCCTTCACCGCCCTCTCTCCTAACCAAGTTCTTACCCTAGTAACCTCTGCCTGTCCACCACCTGCCCTCTTGACCCCATTCCATCACATCTTCTACAATCTATCGCTCCTGACCTTCTTCCTTTCCTCACCTGTCTCATCAATAATGTTCTGTTATCTGGCTGTTTTCCCAAATCTCTGAAGGAGTCCCTCAGGGTTCCGTCGTGGGTCCCCTCCTGTTCTCGCATTACATCACATGTCATTTAGCTGACGCTTTTATCCAAAGCGACTTTCAATAAGTGCATTTCAACCCACTTTGGATAAACGGTTTCTGTAACCAAGAAAACTACGTACTGGTTCATTTCCCACATGTACGTGATCTGTGTTTATTAACTGCTGTTGGTTCGATGATGCAGTATTGACCCCCACCGAGGATCCTCCCAGGAACGGCAGTTTAAACGCCCTGTTTTCCTGTACAGGTGTGCGAGGGATGGACAGCAGCGGCGGCGAGCAGCTCGGCGTAGGTGAGGAGGAGTCCGCCTGCATGTCGGCCTCGGAGGGCCTGGAGGAGGGGGAGGTGGAGGGGGAGACCCTCCTCATCGTGGAGTCGGAGGACCAGGGCTCGGTGGATCTGTCACATGACCAGAGTGGAGACTCTCTGACCAGCGACGTGGGCGAGGAGGCCGATGGGGGGTGGGCCTGCGAGGACGTGTCCTTTTACTGTGACCACTGCCACAAGTGGGTCCCTGCAGGTGAGCGTCGCTGAGGTCACCTGGGGGAGGGAGGAGACGCCGCGGTACTGAATGTCACGTTTCTGTTTGTCAGCTCAGCTCAGAGGGGAGCAGCCGAGCTACCTGAAAGGTGACAACTTCTTCAAGTTCATCTGCTCCGACTGCTCCGAGGACGCGAAGGAGAGCTTCGAGAGGATGAGACTCACCTGGCAGCAGGTAAACCGCCGTCGCCTTCCAACAGCTGTGGAGGCGGAGACTCGCCTGGCAGCAGGTAAACTCCCTCTGCTCGTGTGTCTCAGGTGGTGATGCTGGCCATGTACAACCTGTCTCTGGAGGGGACGGGCCGCCAGGGCTACTTCAGGTGGAAAGAGGACATTTGTGCTTTCATTGGTCGACACTGGAACTTCCTGCTGGGAACCAGGTCACAGACCTCCAGATCCTTTTCATCATGTTTCACGTTCAGGTCCCAACGTCCCTCTCGATGGCTGCTGTGTTTGACCTGGTGACCCTTGACCTCTGCAGGAAGAAGACCTCCACGTGGTGGAGCACGGTGGCCGGGTGCCTGTCAGTCGGTAGCCCCGCCTTCTTCCGCTCCGGCGCGCAGGAGTTCGGCGAGCCGGGCTGGTGGAAGCTCGTCCAGAACCGACCGCCGACTCTCCGTCCGGAGGCGGACAAACCCGCCGGAAAGGCCAAAGGTACGGCGCTCTGCTCCCGGTGAGCTCGCTCCCAACGCGGCAGGAAGACGCTCACCTGACTCTTCCGCCCGCAGCCTGTAAACCCGCCGCGGAGCCCGTCATGGCGGTGGAGGGCCTGAGGAGGCGCGGCGCCAGGAACCCGGTGGAGAACGCCATCCAGCTGAAGGAGAAGCGGAGCCGCACGCAGGAGGCCAAAGACATCCGGCGGGCTCAGAAGGAGGCGGCGGGGGGCTACGCCGACCGCAGTGCCTGCTCCACGCCGGTCAAACTGGGAGGAGGCCGCGGCGGAGGGGGCGCAGGGCGTCGCCCCGACCTCGTCTTGGAGAAGGGCGAGGTCATCGACTTCTCCTCCATCAGCTCGTCGGACCGAACGCCGCTCACCAGCCCGTCGCCCTCGCCCTCGCCGGACTTCTCTGGCCCGGGGACGCCGGCTTCTCACTCGGCAACGCCCAGCCTGCTGTCGGAGGCGGACCTTATCCCCGACGCCATGCCCCCCCAGGCGCTGTTCCACGGTGAGTTGGTGTCATGAGCGTCACGGTGCGACGCCATCGCTGACCTCGTCTTGTCCCCAGGTGATGAGGAGATGGAGACGGAGGGAATGATCGACCCGGGGATGGAGTACGTGCCTCCCCCTCGCCCCCACCTCGTGGCCCGCAAGAAGCTCCGCTCGGCGCCGCCACACATCAAGCACGAGGTCGACAGTGAGGACGACGGGGGACTCGAGCGGGGTCGCTTCGAGGAGCCGGCGGGGCGCGGCGAGGGCCTGCCTCTGTCCGCTGGGGGGGCAGAGCGGAGGAGGATAACTCACCCCGAGAAGGCCGACGGAAGCGGCGGCGGCGTCCCGCCGGCGCCCCGCTTCACCTCCCTCAGCCTCTACGAGGAGCGGCTGCTGCTCCGCCGCCTGGACGCCTGCCCGCTGGCCCTGGCCGTCACGCCGCCGGCCAAGCGCCTCCACAGGAAGCTGCTGGTTCGCCAGGCCAAGAGGCAGCGGGGGCTCCCCCTGCTGGACGTGGACCGCGCCGTCAGCGCCACTCTGGGCCTGGTGGGGGGGATCTACGGCGCCCAGGTGGCGGGGGCTGTGGAGCAGGGTGGAGTCGTGGGGAAGTACTGCACCAGCAGCCAGGAGCTGCGTATTCTTGATCGCTTCCAGGTACCTTCGTGTTTACTTCCTGTTTGTTTGTTGTTTCCGCTGTAAAGGAGGTCGGTTCTCCTTCTGTCAGGAAACGGTGACGTTGTCTCGTCTTTTTACTATCTGCATCTTAAAGGAGTTGAATGATTTTGGATGTTGAAGCCGTTGTCGTCGTGTTCAGATGATACTTGAGGAGCTCCACAAGGAGCCCTGACAGCACCTCTGATGGCGTTTGTGTTTGCAGACCAACGTCTGCAGCAGAAGAGGCCTCCAGCAGCAGTCTGTGTCCTTCTGGCGTCGTCTGATGGGAGCAGAGACCAGTTCAGACCAGACCATCAAGAGCCCCTACAGCTCCCGCCTCCTCAAGCCCTTCATCAGGTGACAACCGTGTCCTCGCATTCAGGAGCTTTTCAAAGGTCTTTTCGGGACACAGCGGTGGTCCTCTGCAGGGTAGATGTTGAGATGGAAGTAGCTTAGCAGCTAGCTTAGCATAGCAGTCCCCCTTCTGTTTGTTTTACTTTACCGTCTCGCTCTCTGCAGCAGTTGGTGACGGTTTCGTTTGCGGGGTCAACTTTGTTTACTTCCTGTGTCAGACGGGAAGTAAACAAAGGTGCTCTGTTTGCCCCTCAGGAGGGATTACGAGAGTCGGCCCGTGAAGCTGAGGCTGCTGGGGGAGGTCCGAGCTCACCCCCACAGGAAGGAGCCCGGCTGGACGCCTGAGGCCAACGCCCCCATCGACTACTGCTACGTCCGCCCCAACCACATCCCCTCCGTCAACGCCATGTGTCACGACAACTTCTGGCCAGGTAGCACGGACTCCTCCGCAGCGTACGTGTAGCCGTCCCAGCAGCTGTCCGTCTGAACCACCTGTTGCCCCCCAGGTGTTGACCTGTCAGAGTGCCTGCAGTACCCCGACTTCAGCGTGGTGGTCCTCTATAAGAAGGTGGTGGTGGGCTTTGGCTTCATGGTTCCTGACGTGAAGTACAACGAGGCCTACATCTCCTTCCTGCTGGTCCATCCCGAGTGGAGGAGAGCTGGCATCGGCACCTTCATGATCTACCATCTGATCCAGGTGAGCCCTGAGGGGCGCTCGGGACCCCCTGTTGTTGTTGTTAAGTCCTGTTAATTTGCTTGTGTTTGTTTGTTAAACATACCGTCATCGATCAGTGTGAAAACATGAGCACATCATGTATGAGTGCCGTTAGCTGTTAGCCGTTAGCTGTTAGCGCCACTACCAACAGCAGGTCGAGACGTCGCTGTGACAAATCTGAGCAGATTGGAATTAATGAAAGCCTTAATTAAAATGTTGCTACGCCGTTAGCTCGGTTATTTAGCTCGAGCAGGACGTTGCCCGGCTAACGCGCTCACTTCCTGTCCCCCCGCTCAGACGTGCATGGGGAAGGACGTGACGCTGCACGTGTCGGCCAGTAACCCGGCCATGCTGCTCTACCAGAAGTTTGGCTTCAAAGCGGAGGAGTACATCCTGGACTTCTACGATAAGTACTACCCGGTGGACAGCGCCGAGTGCCGCCACGCCTTCTTCCTCCGACTGAGGCGCTGAAGGTCCACGGGCCCAGAGGCACACGACAGCTTCTCCGTCTCTGAACCCGCCAACAAAACAAATAACTGACAAGATCTGATCAAGTGTATTTTTGTGCTCATTAAAACGATGAAGGATTTGTGGTTTCTGGTGGAATCTACAAGCAGAAGGTTGTGAGGAAAACGACGACGACGACATCCTCTAAAACCACATTAAAACAGGACCGTGAGCAGCTTGTTTCTCTTCTTCCTTCACACTCAGCAGGAGGCGCTAAACGCCAACGTCTCCTTCTGCACCTCAAAGACGCGACAGAACCAGGTCTGAAAGTACAGCGAGGACGACGTGTGTTCTCTGCGTTTAGAGCAGCAGACTTGATGTCAGCTGGTTGCTTGCGTGAATTTAATGCCGCTCTTGACTCTGTATTTTGCGGTGGAGCTTAGTGGGTCCATCAGAACTGGTGTTCAGTCTGTAATGTTTCTAAAGATGAAGAGGAGCAGCTAAACGCTACTGGGTTACACTGTGTATCTAATATATTACTCATTGGATGGAAGAGTCCTTGGTGCGTTTTTAGGTTTAATACACAATAACAAGCTGCACACTGATGATACAGACATTAAAGTTATGAATCTGCCGACAAACAAACGTGTGTGTGTGTGTGTGTGTGTGTGTGCGTGCGCACTAGTTCAGGTACTAAAAGTCTAAAACAGTAGATTTTTGATTACTTCAATATACAACACAAAACAAGTACTTTGCTAGTTGTAATTATATTTATTACGTAGTTGGAAACGCGTGTCAGCGTGTGGACCAGACGGACCATCAGAACCCGTCCCGGTCCTCTCTGGGTCTCCCCAGTCTGCCCAGCATGTCCAGTCCGGTGCGAGCAGCCAGCAGAGCGGCTGCCTCGCTGCAGCCGGAGCTCAGCGCCACGTCCAACGCCGCCCGACCCGCGACGTCCCTCCGCCGCAAGGACGCCCGACAGCTGCCGGGGAGAGGGGGGACGTCAGGGGGGACAAGGGGACGCCAGCAGGTGGGAGGAGCTATTGCACGAAACCAGGACGAGGGATTAAGGCGGAATATTATCCTGGATGAATTTAGCTCGGACTTAATTAAACCCAGACAAGTAACCATGGAGACGTATTGTGTGCAGCTACAGACAGAGACAGACAGACAGATTAATCCTGAGTCTCGTGTGTTTACCGGCTGAGGGCGATGTATAAAGTCCCACTTACCAGCCTGCAAAGTGGTTTTATATTTTATCTTGATCTTTTTTGTCCAGTCTTGTTTGTTCTGTATGAACATTACGTTTATTAATCATTATTATGAATTAATTAATTTGAGAAGACACTTTACAGTAAAACCAGCACATTTAGCACATAAACACAAATACAACAATAAAAGAAACATATTAAAACATATTAAAACAGTCCAACCTTCCTAGTAAGAAGCTATTTTTAAATCCTTCCCCAGTCGCTCCGTGATCGTCTGCAGGCTTTTTCTCTTCATATTCTCATATTCTTCACCTCATAAGTTTCAATGATCAGTTGCTGCTCAGCGGGTTAAAAATAGGCCACGTCGGGCGTCTTCTCCATTTGAGCATCAGTAGCTCTGTGATGGTCACCGGGATCCAGCTGTGTGCACCTGGATGGACTCATCAGTCAGTCAAGCTGCGCTTCTCACTTCTCCTGCATTTCTTTATTCTACTTTTTGTGCAACGGCTCCCAGTAGCTTGTGTCTTTATTTAAAGTGACACCTGTGAGAACCTGTGCAGCCAAATAATAGCAGATTACCTGAATGTACAACCTGCTCTTTGTGGTGGTTTGTGTCTTTGTGGTGGTTTGTGTCTTTGTGGTTTAGTTTGTGTCTTTGTGGTTTGGTTTGTGTCTTTGTGGTTTAGTTTGTGTCTTTGTGGTTTAGTTTGTGTCTTTGTGGTGGTTTGTGTCTTTGTGGTTTAGTTTGTGTCTGTGGTGGTTTGTGTCTTTGTGGTTTAGTTTGTGTCTTTGTGGTTTGGTTTGTGTCTTTGTGGTTTAGTTTGTGTCTGTGGTGGTTTGTGTCTTT